ATCTTGATTCCAGCTTGTGCTTCATCCAGCCCAGCATTGCTCATGATGTACTCTGCATATTGGTTAAATAAGCAGAGTTACAACATACAACCTTGATGTAATCCTTTCCCCATTTGGAACCAGTCCATTGTTCCATGTCTGGTTCTAATTGTTGCTTCTTGACCTGCATACAGATTTCTCAGGAGGCAGGTCAAGTGGTCTGGTATTCCTATCTCTTGAAGAATTTTCAACAGTTTGTTGTGATCCACACAGTCAAAGGCTTTGGCATAGTCAATAAAGCAGATGTTTTTCTGAAACTCTTACTTTTTCGATGATCCAGTGGATGTTGGCAATTTGATCTCTGATTCCTCTGCCTTTTCTAAATCCAGCTTGAACATCTGGAAGTTCACAGTTCACATACTGTTGAAGCCTAGCTTGGAGAATTTTGAGCATTACTTTGCTAGCATGTGAGATGAGTACAATTGTGTGGTAGTTTGAACATTCTTTGGCATTGCCTTCCTTTGAAATTGGAACGAAAACTTACCTTTTCTGATCCAGTGGCCACTGCTGAGTTTTCCAAATTTGCTGGCATATTGAGTGTAGCACTTTCACAGCATCATCTTTTAGGATTTGAAATAGCTCAGCTGGAATTCCATCACCTCTACTAGCTTTGTTCGTAGTGATGCTTCCTAAGGCCCACTTGATTTCACATTCCAGGATGTCTGGCTCTAGGTGAATGATCACACTATCATGATTATCTGGGTCATAAAGATCTTTTTTGTATAGTTCTTCTGTGTATTCTTGCCACCTTTTCTTAATATCTTTCACCATTATCTTAATATCTTAATTAAGATATTTAGTATCTTAATAATGATATCTTATCATAATATCTTAATTTCTTACACCATTTCTTAATAGCTTCTTCTTCTTCTTCAGGTACTATTTCTGTCCTTTGAACCCATCTTTGCATGAAATGTTCCCTTGGTATCTCTAATTTTCTTGAAGAGAATTCTAGTCTTCCCATTCTGTTGTTTTCCTCTATTTCTTTGCATTGATCACTGAGGAAGCCTTTCTTATCTCTCCTTGCTATTCTTTGGAACTCTGCATTCAAATGGGTGTATCTTTCCTTTTCTCCTTTGCCTTTTGCTTCTCTCCTTCTCACAGCTATTTGTGAGGCTGCTCAGACAACCATTTTGCCTTTTTGCATTTCTTTTTCTTGGAGATGGTCTTGATCCCTGTCTCCTGTACAGTGTCACAAACCTCCGTCCATAGTTCTTCAGGCAGTCTGTCTATCAGATCTAATCCCCTGAATCTATTTCTCATTTCCATTGTATAATCGTAAGGGATTTGATTTAGGTCATACCTGAATGGTCTAGTGGTTTTCCCTAGTTTCTTCAATTTAAGTCTGAATTTGGCAATGAGGAGTTCATGATCTGAGCCACAGTCAGCTCCCAGTCTTGTTTTTGCTGACTCTACAGAGCTTCTCCATCTTTGGTTGCAAAGAATATAATCAATCTGATTTCGGTGTTGACCATCTGGTGATGTCCATGTGTAGAGCCTTCTCTTGTGTTGTTGGAAGAGGATGTTTGCTATGACCAGTGCATTCTCTTGGTAAAAATCTCTTAGTCTTTGCCCTGCTTCGTTCTGTACTCCAAGGCCAAATTTGCCTGTTACCCCAGGTATTTCTTGACTTCATACTTTTGCATTCCAGTCCCCTATAATGAAAAAGATATCTTTTTTGGGTGTTAGTTCTAGAAGGTCTTATAGGTCTTCATAGAACCATTCAACTTTGGCTTCTTCAGCATTACTGGTTGGGGCATAGACTTGGATTACTGTGATATTGAATGGTTTGCTTTGGAAATGAACAGAAATCATTCTGTCGTTTTTGAGAGTGCTTGTTGACTATGATCCCATCATAGTCAATGCTGTCTATAGCACTTGCCAATTTCTGTGGTGTAAATGTGATTTCAAACTATTGACATGAGGTCGGTGAACACAGAGTTGGGATGTGTAGGCCTGTCAGCACTCACTGATCCCACCCTGGGTACAATAAGCAAATCAGTCTCATCACTTAGGCAACCTGTACTGGTATCACCTGGGGGGCCAGGGACCCACCAGCCCTGAACGTGGATGTCAAATATTTATTTATTGGGCCGCATCAGGTCTTAGTTGAAACACATGCAATCTTCAATCTTTGTTGCAGCATGGGGGATCTTTTTTTGTTAGCTGCAGCGTGCTAACTCTTACTTGCGGCATGTGGGATCTAGTTCCTTCAGAGTCTCAGCCACTGGACCACCAGGGAAGCCCCCTGAACTTGGACATTGGTCATTGTACACTAGCAGTGCCCTCAGGAGCCTGGCAGAAGCAAATGTAAAGTATCTGGAGACAAAGGTAGCTTCATTCTAGGCCTCCAGTTATCCTTATAAATAAATTTGGAAATACAGTGTCCAGCAATGTCAAAGAGAATCAGGCAGATCACAAGGAAACAGGATACCGTGAGTAAGAACTAGCAGAAACAGACTCTCAGAAACTTCAAATATCAATGATCAGACACAGACTATAAAACAACTGTGCTTTGTTGAAAGGAAGAAGTGTAAAAATATCTGCAGGAGACAGGAAACTATAAAAAGTACCACACTAGATTTATAAAGAACATTTGTAGAGAGCTTTGTAGTTTAATCAGAGATCAAAAACGTACATGCCTTCAGGGGCCATATGGTGATACAAATGAGAACAGTGACTAGGTGACACATTGGTGACCTGGGGAGCTGCATCCAAAGGGTACAAGACTCCTCAGCTCCAGCTGATTGTTGCCATGTGGCACACGGTGCCCAGTCTGCAGATCTGACATATCTATAGAAGCTGGATATTTGGATTTCTTTTTATTGTGGTCAAATACACATAACATAAAATGCACCACTGTGGGACCTCCTTGGCAGTCCAGTGGTTACAACTCAGCACTTTCACTGCCAAGGGCTTGGGTTTGATGCTTGGTTGGGGAATTAAGATCCTTCAAGCTGAGTGGCACAGCCAAAAAAACCCCACCAAACACTCTAACAATTTAAAGGTATACAATTCAGTGGCATAAAGCACATTCACAGTCACCATTATCTTCTTTCAGAAATTTTTTTCATCAGCCCTCCACCCCCAGAATGGAAACTCCATACATATTTGAAGTCACTTCCCATTCCCTACTCCCCAGAGTCCCTGGCAACCACCAGTCTGGTTTCTGTCTCTATGGATTTGCCTAGCTTAGATAACTCATGTAAGTGGAATCATACAATATTTGTCCTTTTGTGACTGGCTTCTTTCACTTAGGATGTTTTCAAAGTTCATCCACACTGTGGCATGTATCAGTACTTCATTCCTTTTTAATGACTGAATGATATTCCACTGTATTAAATATATACATTTGTCCATTCATCATTCAGTATTTGGATTTTAAAATATATCTTCTTCTTTTGACTCAAATGTATGTTTTTAAATGTTATGTGTAACTTTAAACATGTATCTGCTGGCCAGGTAAGTCAGAGTGCCAGTGATATGGACCTGTGTTTTATGACCTGCTGCGACATGCTTTCCTCACATTAGGAACTTGGGGTTCAGGATGGTAAAAGGATATGCCTAGGAAAAGGCCTTCAGTGGAGCTTCCACTCCATAGCGCCAGAAAATGTTCTCCCCCACACCAAAACCTCAAGGCAAAGGGCTTGGTTTAAGAATGAGTGGTAGTCACACACCTAGCTCACAGCTTGTTGGGCTAGTTGATCTCCAAGGCACTGGGTTTACTGACAGGGGTCATTCTCTTTCCCGAACACCCATCTGGGCACCAACCGGCTCTGTTCAATACCAGTTTAGCTGCAGCTGACCACAAGGATGACTTATCCTGGTAACTGTAGATTGGTGCAGAGCTGTCTTGAGGCACCGCAGGGAAGACACCAGCCCAGAGCTGTCTTGAGGCACTGCAGGGAAGACACCAGCCCAGAAGTCCTCCTCGTAGCCGGCCAGTCTACTTTACCTGTCAGGGTCATTTGTGCGGTAGCCGCAGCTGGGCAGAGCACAGAACTTACATCAGGTGTGGCTTAAGCTCAAATCTGGTTCCAGGACAGAAACCCCACGTGGGCCCGCTTCCCCTATTTATGGTGAGGGCAACTTATCACTAGAGGCAATGTCTAAGAGCCCCTCTTGAAATGCTGATAAATAATCATCGAGCTTTTCTGCGCCGAAAGCTATTTAAGAAGGTCGAATGTCTCTCGTGGTCACCCCAAGCTCCCTTCCTCCCACCCTAGTTTTCCAAAAGGACCAAAGACAGGGAAGCGACGTCCTAGCTCGCGTATTTAAACCGGGCGTAAGGCCAGCAGAGGTCCGCCTTTCTCAACTCTTTCCAAGAGCACCTCGCGTCCCGAATCGGCACCTTCAACTCTGAGAAGTCGGGAGCCCCACAGGAAACTTGCATTATTGCAGCCGCTGCCACACACCCGGGGCCGCGGACGGGCGCCGCGCCGGCTCCCCAGGAATGCATCCCTTCCACGGCCGCCCGGTCAGCCGGCCCGCCCTCCCCGGGGGAGCCCTCGGCACCTGCGGCCTCCAAGTAAGTGTCCGCGCGCACCTCCACCCGCCAGCCCGCCTCCCCCACTACCCCGCTTGCCCGGAGCTGGAGGTAGCCAGGTGCCCCTCGCCACCTCCCCGGGTAGCGGGGGTGGCGGGCACCTCCCCCGGGTGGGCGGAGAGGCTGCCGGCGCTGCTCCGCGGCGGCGGCGCCCGGAGGCCGCACTGGCGGCGGCCGCGGCGGCGCTGCTCCCCCTGCTTGGTGCAGCTGCCGCCCGGCGCTTGCGCACTGGGCCCTGGGCGCGCGGCGGCACCAGGCTTTGTGTGTGTGTGTATGTGTGCGAGTGTGTGTGTGTGTGTGTGTGTGTCCGTGTGTGAGTGAGTGAGCGGGCGGGCGGGCGCGAGTGTGGCCGCCGCGGAGCGCGAGCAGGACCCGGCGGGCGCGCTCCCCCAGCCTCTCTCTCCCCGCCAGAACCATGTCGGGCAGGTCGGTTCGAGCCGAGACCAGGAGCCGGGCCAAAGATGATATCAAGAGGGTCATGGCGGCTATCGAGAAAGTGCGCAAATGGTAAGCGGAGGCGCCGGCTCGATCGCTCGCCGGCTCGGCGCCGCAGCCGCCCCGAACCCCGAAACCAGATACAAAAAGCCGGCGGGGCGCAGCGCCCCGGGCCGCCCGCGGGCCCGGGAGTTGGAGAGGGCGGGCGGCGCGCGAGCCGGGTCACCTGCGCGCGGCGGGGGCCGCGGCCGCTGCCCAGGTGCGCTCGCGCCTGTCGCCCACCTGGCGCGGCGGCGGCAGCCTGGAGGCGACAGGCGCCCTGGGCCGGGCGGTGGAACAGCGGGCAGTCCCCGGCGCGGCGCTTGGCTCCCGGGAGGGGGGCTCGGGGCCGGCCCCAGAAGCCATTTCGTTTTGTGCAAGTCACATGAAAGCGGCTTCCCGCGCGCCGGGGCCGCGATGCCGGCGGCTGAGGGGAGAGCGCGAGCTCCATTGTGCAGGCACCGAGCGGGCCGCCGCCGTCTCCGTCTCCTCCCCGCGCGCCCCGGGCGGCGCAGCGCCGGCCCCCGCGCCCTTGCCCGCGCCGGGCCTCCCTCTCTCCCTCCCTCCCTCTCTCCCCGGCTGGCTCGCTCGCTCCCCGCCTCCCAGGCTCGGCGCCCTCGAGTCTGCGGAGTTTGTAGAGCGCGAGCCGTTTAAATTTAGCGCTTTGGGCTGCCTGGAGCGAGGGCTCTTGGCGAAGAAGAAAGATGGGGGCGAGCGCGAGGAGGAAACGCTGGCTGCGGCCGCGGGGCCCGGGGCTCCTGGCGCCCCCCCACCCCCGCTCCCGCCCAGCTCTGCCGGGACCCGGGCTCAGGGGCTCGGGCGAGCGAACGTTTGGGGCCAGACCCCGGTCCTGGGCCGCGTGTGCTGCTCCAAACCCGGCCGTTCCTGTTTGTTTTGCGGAAAGAGCTGTTGTTTTTGTTCTCTGCGCGGGGGGCGAGGGGGACTCGGGTGTCTGGCCGTGCGGGTTTCTCCGGCTCACGTTATAGATTCCGTCCGGCGTGGCCTGGTTATAATTAATACGACTGAACGTTTCCCCGGCCTCGTCCGGGTCTGTCTAGGAATCGGCCCGAGGGCCAGGCCCGAGACGCCAGCCGATCGCCAGGTTGGGGCAGACTTGTTGAAAACTCCCGGCTCCCGGATTTCAACTTTATTATTTTTTTCCCACGGCCTCACCAGGGTCAGGGAGGGAGAAGAGCCGCCGCGACGTTCGAGTGTCAGTGCCCGCGGGCTCATTCTGACCCTTTATTTAAAGCCTGAAAACCCGGCAAGGCCCCGTGGCGGGCTCTGTTTATGTTTAGGGGTGTCATTTCTCAAGTAACGCCTGGGTCTCTCAAAACCACTGGGGGCGAGCCTCCAGTCTAGCCGTGTCACAAGTTAGCTGTCCTTTCTGAGTCAAACCCAACAAAAAAGGCAAGAGGAAAATCAATAAAGTCCACGTGCTCCCGGGCCTCCTATGGAAAGGGCTGTCTGCAGATGGCCGGATGCCCAGCCGAGGGCTGGGTTTGGCTCCAATGGGACAAAGAATTTTCAGAACCGTGAGAAGGGGAGGCCTTCCAAAGTTGAGATCCAAGTCTTCCCTGCCGTGGGAGCTCCCCTGACGCGCAGGGCGCCGAGTGCCGGGACCGGAGCCATTTAAAAATGGCAGAAACAGCTGCAGGCCAAAACACACACAGGAAAACAAGCCCACCACCCCCTCTCCAGCGGGATTCTCAGAGGCAAGGCTGGAGTTGTCCCCTGCCTGAGCTCCTCGGCAAAGAAAGAGCTGTTGTCTGGGCCTGAGTTCCTTCTGTTACCAGCCTGGAGGTGAGAAAGGGGTGGGGGCACGCTGCCTTTCTGTGCTTCGGGAGGCGTGGTGGGGCCTTCTGCCCCAGGTTCCCAGCCTGGCAGAGGCCCCTGCACCCTGACAGCTGCTCCTGGAGGGCCCACCCACCAGCTGCTCTGCTGGGAGGGCAGATGGAGCTGTGGGGTTTTCCACCCTGGGGGCCCCAGAGCAGCCAGCCTGGAAACCCTCAGTGCTGCTGAGCAGGCTCTGGTTTTGGGAGGAGGGGAGGAGAACGTGTCTCTCTCTCTTTTTGTGTTTTGGGAAACTAGGAGTCAAGTCCATTAAAGACCTCGGGCTTTGGGATTTTATGACTGGACTTCCAGTTCACTTCCTTGCTGTGACCTTGGGCTAACCACATAACTTCTCTAACCATGACAGCAAAGGGTCCCTGTGTTCCCTTCTCCCCTCCTGGAATAACACCATGTCTCCCAAAGCACTTAGTCCTTCACACAGGGAGTGTGTGTGTGTGTGTGTGTGTGTGTGTGTGTCGCTCAGTTGTGTCTGACTCTTTGCGACCCCATGGACTGTAGCCTGCCAGGCTCCTCTATCCATGAAATTCTCCAGGCTAGAATACTGGAGTGGGGAGCCATTTCCCTGGTCATTTAACGCTGCCTTTATTATAAGGTAGAAGCTTGGTTTTGCTGATTTCTTCCCCCTCCTGCCCATGCTAAGCAAAAGAGACTTTACCTTATGCCATAGGTTTCCCCAGCACCAAGAAGCCAAATCCTACCCTCACTCTGCCTTTAGAATGTGTCTTCCAGTCAGCCGTTGTGGTTTGGGGTTGTTTATTAACTCTGTGGCCACCAACCGTGTCTGGGACGTCCTACTGGCTGGGACACTGGGTTGCCAGATTTAGCAAATAAAATTACAGGACACCCAGTTAAATTTGAATTTCAGATAAACAAATAATATTTTTAAATAGGTTTTGTGTTTTTTTTTTTAGTGTAAGTATGTCCCATGCACTGTTTGGGACATACTTATACTAAAAAATATTATTCATTGTTTATCTGAAATTCAAATTTAACTCAACATCCCGTTTCTCTCTCTTCTTTTTTTAAAATTCAGAATGGAGGTGTCTAGCATACCACTCAGCCTGTAAGCCTAGGGTGGTATTTCTCCTCAGCCCCAGTGACCTCTAAAAATCCCCCCTTCTACTTAGCCCTACCCTTCCCCTCCTCTGGAAAAAGCCAGCAGCCAGCCATGGCCGCCCTGTCTATAGCCACTGGCTATTTCTCCTCTCCTTTCTGTCTGATACCTGAGTGAGGCCAGCTGGTGGAGTGCAAGGCAGCCAGAACATGGCTGAAGGAAGAACAAAATGGTGGGCTCCTTTGGCGGGGAACTGGGGCAGGGTTAGGAGGCCCCGTGTGGGTAGAGAAGGAAATGGGAGTCACTGGGTAGAGGCGGTAAAAGGCTTGAGCGTTGAAGTAGGCTTAGACCCAGGGACTCCTGGGACTGTGGTCTGAAGGGTCCCTCAGTGACTTGTGAAGACGGAGAGAGGCCTGTTCCCCGAGACCTCCCACCGGTCCCTGGGGGTGGGGGTGGGTTGACTGTGCTTAGATTCTCACCTCAGTACCTTCAGGGGACCGTCCTGCCCGGCACAGGGCAGGTCAAGCAGGCCTGGGCCTAGTTAGGATGAAGCCAGCCATAGCCAGACCTTCTCTGGCATCAAGGACTAGCCCTGGGAAGTGGAGAGGAAGTGACGACTTCAGGGCCGTCTTTGCGGGGGTCAGGTATCCCTGGCTGGCCAGCGCTCGGAGCTGACCCTAAGAGAACATTCGAAATTGGCCCCCGCCTGGAGGATCTAGGGAGAGGGGTGCTCATAGTTTACACAGAAGCTTGTGCTGGGATGGGGCGTTTGGGTCTCTATTCCTCCAGCTGACTCCTTTTGTTCAGGATCCCAGCCTGGTGGGGAAGCGACAGGCACTTCAGCCTGGCTGGTTACAGGAGGGCTCCGGGCGTGCCCATCAAGGCCAGGTCGGGCTGCAGCCTGGAGGTTGTGGTGAATCCAGACCCGTGCCTAGAGGTAGTGAGACTCAGGGGTCTGAGAGAACCAAGGGCCCCATCTGAGAGGCACTGCTCCTTGGGGCGTGTGGGTCCCTCGTGGCCATATTGTGTTTTTGAGAATGGCCAGCAATCTGGATTTGAATGTGGGGTTTGACTTGTTTGTTGGGTTTTTTTCCCAAGTCTGACATTGGACTCTAATTTTTTAAAGTACCATATAGGCCAGACAAAACGTGCCTCTTGGCCGCTTGTCTGCAACCACAAATGTAAGGTGATGAGTACAACTTAATATACTCCTTGGGTGTTGAGGGGGCCGCGAGTTCTAGGGTGATGGGTTTGGAGGTGGTGGTAGGAGCTCTTAGCTGCTCCTCTATGTCCGTGTGTCGTTTCCCAAGGTGCTGCCGAGCCACTGGCTTGATGACACACCCAACACTCCGTGGATGTGTCTACGAAGTGCCGGGTTCTCCCTCAGCATCTCACCCCTGAACTCCAGGGCCTGTCTCTCCCTGGGTGGCTGCTGGCCTTACTGCAGACTATGGTCATAGTCTCAGCACTCTTCCGTCTGACCCCTGGCCCCTCAGTGCCTATACCTAGAAATGCAACTGAAGAACAGTTTCTAATGCCTGGAGTGAGTTGGGAACTGGGGCCAAGGGAGGCATCAGAACCTGCGGGGCCCGTAACCTCCCTGGAAAGCACCTGCGACTTTCCACGTTCATCTCGGCTCACTTGCGGCCTGCAAAGCCCAGGTCTGGCACCCTTTGTACCCTGAGAGGTGTCCTGTGTATTACCAGTCAGTTACTTTTTTTCTGTTTTAAACACAGTCAAGCGTTGGATCTGCTGACCTACCGGGGTCTGGGCAGAGGAAGCCAGCTTGTGAGCAGTGAGTGCCTGTGGCCCTTTGGGTGGGATTGGAGCAGTTTGTGCTTCTTTGTCCAGCTTCTGTCGCTGATGAGCTCTGTGGAGTCATTTCTTAGTTTTTTCATGGGAGACAAAATACCAGGGATCACAGCCCACGTCCACCTCCAGTTCTGCTACCTAGTTCTGCCGTTACACTAGCCACGTGACCATGAACTAGTGGTATAACTTCTCTGGGCCTCCCGTTTCCTCATCTGTAAAGCAGGATGACAATAGTCCCCCTCTCATAGGCCTGTGTAAATAAAGCATTTGGCATGAAGTAAGCCCTCAGCACACAATGGCTATTGTGATGGCTGCTTTGTCACTGAGGTTGTTTCTTGGAATGTCTCTGTCCCTTCCAGGCACCTTCTGATTATTCAGAATGGAGATGGGGAAAGACCGGGGTTGTGGGTCATCCATCCTGCCTCCTGGAGATAGGGGACAGGTGGATGGTGACTTAGGTACCTGCCTTTATTTAATTCTCTCAAGGCTAAGAGAGACAGGGATGGGGGCAGGGGGAGCTACTCCAAAAAGCAGTGTGGCAGGGAGGTGTGAACACTGGGGAGGATGACTCCACCTCCCTCAACCTCAGTTTCTTTATCAGACAGGAAAGGTGACTATTTACTGTCACCAGAGATTATGGGAAAATTAGAGCAAGTGTGGATAGTGCTTATCTCACAGGAGGCACTAGAAACAGTCAGAGTAGAGTTGTTGTTGTTGTTGTTGTTGAGTCGCCCAGTTGTGTCCGACTCTGTGACCTCATGAACTGCAGCAGGCCAGGCCTCCCCGTCCCTCACCATCTCCCAAAGTTTGCCCAAGTTCATGTCCATTGCATCGGTGATGTCATCCAGCCGTCTCATCCTTTGACCACCTCTCCTCCCTCTGCCCTCAGTCTTTCCCAGCATCAGGGATGTTTCCAATGAGTCGACTCTTCACATCAGATGACCAGACCAAAACATTGGAGCTTCAGCTTTAGCATCAGTCCTTCCAATGAGTATTCAGAGTTGATCTCCCTTAAGATTGACCGGTTTGATCTCCTTGAAGTCTCCAAGGGACTTTCAGAGGTCTTCTGCATAGAAGAATAAATGCTGATAAAAGCCAGGCCCTAGGGACTTCCCAGGCAGTCCACTGGTTAGGGCTCAGTGCTTCCACTGCAGGGGGTTAGGATTTGACTCCTGGTTGGGGAACTAAAGATCCCACATGCCTTGAGGTGCAGCCAAAAAAAAAAAAAAAGGCAGTCCTTAGCTTCCTCCAGCAGGGGACTTTGGGAACCACGCAGGCACAGTTTGGGACGTGGAAGGGTCTGTGGGTTTGGTTAGCTGGGCCCCCAGAAGCCTCAATGGTGGATTGGTGCCAGGTGGTGGGAATGTGTCCCTTTAGCTCATGAGGGCTACTTTCCATTGGAGGGGAGGATCCAAGGCCCAGGTCTTGGCAGGGAGGCCAGACAGGGTGCCCACAGCCATCTGTAATTCTCAGCTCTGGTGCAACCCCTGTCGCTCAAATTGCTGAGGTCTCCTGGCTGCCATGCCACCTGCAGCAGGTGTGTGTCTGGCCCTGACGTCATCTCATGGGGCCCTTGAATCAGCTGATTTCCTTCGAGTGACCCCCCACGTCTCTGAGACAGCAGAGCCTGGTGCTGGGAATGTGGACTCCAGAGCCCCAGCAACCCGGTTGGAATCCCAGCCTTTCTTCTGGGGGGACTTTCCCTGAGCCTCGGTTTCCTCAGGCATGTGGTCTCTGGTTGTCACCGCTAGTGCTGGGGCAGGAAGCTGCAGGACCTGACTTGTAGGCTGCGCAAGGTCGGGGCCGAGCTTGGGAGGCTGGGGTGATAACTAGAAGGAGGAAGATGATGCTTGGAGCAGAGAGTGGTCATCATCATCATCACCTTCGGTGAAAACCAGTCACCCGCTTTCCTTCCCACAGCTTGTGGTTTACTTCTCGCTGTCAACCTGCCTTTGACAACCGTGCCCCAGGTGTTTAGGAGGCAGTCGAGGGTGGGTCAGGGGCGGCGGTGCAGACATTAGGAGCTGAGGCCCATCTCTGAGTGCAGGTTCTCGGAGCGACCTCCCACCTGGCTGCTGACCTCCGCCTGGGCTGTGCTTCCTGTCGCCGCCCCTGAGTATCAGCGTCTGGGGGCCGAGGCCACTGGGCATCCAGGTTTGCCCCGGCGCTCTGTTCCCCTTGGCTGACCTACCTGGAGCTCGCCCAGAAGAGCTGGAGGTGGTTACTCAGGCTGTCTGCTCCTGCCTCCCTTCCCAGGACCTCAGAAAACTTGCCAAGAGGGCAGGGCGAGCCCTTGGATGCCCTTGATGAAGACCCTCCCACCCCTACCCTACCCCCATTGGAGGAAATGCCCTGTTGGTCCGATGCTCTCTCTGCTGCCTAGAGGGGCTCGGGTGGCCCAGTTTGCTTGTTCCATAGGGGTGAGAGGAACCTGGGGCCCGATTCCCTTCATCCAGAGGAATCATCCCAGGGGCAGTGACCTCCCCCACTCCCATCTTACCAAGCACTTCTACCCAGATACAAGAAAGCTGTCCACATGCTTTGTCTCCCGAAATCTTTGTGGCTGTCTGGAGAGCTTGACAACCCCACGCGGTCCAACAGATGGGGAAACTGAGACTCTGGCTGGTGAAGTGACTTGCCTGTGATGGCAGGCAGCAGCTAGTGCTGGGATTCAAACCCGCGTCTGTGTGATCCGGAGACGTCCTCTCAGCCCTTCCCGGGGTGGTCACTACAAGTGTCCCAGCTGCTCCAAGGGCGTGTGGCCCGTGCCCCCCACCATCATGAGCAGGGGTCCACCCCAGAAGCGCCCTGGTAACGGGTTCTTCCTCGTCCTCTGCAGGGAGAAGAAGTGGGTGACTGTGGGCGACACATCCCTGCGAATCTACAAGTGGGTCCCCGTGACGGAGCCAAAGGTTGATGATGTGAGTATGGGGGCTGGTCCCCTGGAGTGGGGGCTGCCCATCCATGCTCCCTTGCATCATGACGACAGGGGACTGGCTGTCCACTGCCACCCTCCATGTGGGGACCCGGGGGCAGAGCACTTGGAAAGCAGAAGGACCCAGCTTGGGGCTGGAGAGGCTGTTGGATCTACCCCTCCCCCAATAGTCTACCCCTCCCCCATAGTCCAGCCCTAGTTTGGCCCTCAGAGAGGTGGGGAGTGTCCCCTGCAAGTCGCCTCTTCCGACTGAGAGCCCCACGATTTGCCAGTGGGGACACACTTTAGCGCCAAGGTGTCCCCTCCCTTAGACTGAGCACCATGGTTTTTGGGTGGGCATGGTGGTAGCTGCAGACAGGCAGGCCCTCCCCCGTCATCGCAGGGCCATTCCTGTCCCCTGACCATCTATATGTCAGACATTACTTTGTGGAGTTGAGCTCTGTATCCACTCTGTACAAGGAAAGACACGGTCTCAGAGAGGCAAAGCCATTCCCGAGAGTCACGCAGCAACTGTCAGATCTGTCTGACTCCAAAGCGTATACTCTCTACTCTTGGAGAGCCTTCTGGGGGTGCTGGTGAAGGTTGACCCCAGAGTGGTGCAGAGAAACCTGGGCCGTTGTTAAGGAGAGGGTTCCAGGCGGAACGGTGACTACGACCACTAGGGGGAGCCCTGGTGTCTGTGCCTAATCTTCAGTTCAGTCCAATTGCTCAGTCGTGTCTGACTCTGCGACCCCATGGACTGCAGCATGCCAGGCTTCCCTGTCCATCACCAGCTCCCGAAGCCTACTCAAATTCATGTCCATCGTGTCTGTGATGCCATCCAACCATCTCATCCTCTGTCGTCCCCTTCTCCCGCCTTCAGTCTTTCCCAGCATCAGGGTCTTTTCCAATGAGTCGGTTCTTCGCATCAGATGGCCAAAGTGTTACAGTTTCAGCTTCAGCACCAGTCCTTCCAATGAACATTCAGGACTGATTTCCTTAAGGATGGACTGGTTGGATCTCCTTGCAGTCCATGGGACTCTCAAGTGTCTTCTCCAACACCACGGTTCAAAAGCATCAATTCTTTGGTGCTCAGCTTTCTTTGTAGTCCACCTCTCACATCCATACATGACTGCTGGAAAAACCATAGCTCTGACTAGACAGACCTTTGTTGGCAAAGTAATGTCTCTGCTTTTTAATATGCTGTCCTAATCTCAGAGAGGGATGGATGGCTGGCAGCTGCCCCACGTCACAGATAGTTTTGCAGCTCTGCGTTTCCCAGGCCAGTTACCCTCAAAGACCCCCAGGTCAGCTACTCTCATCCCAGTCAAAATGCAGAATGGTTCCACCATCAAGCCTTCCTGTGGGCTGTTCCTTCTGCCTGGAGTGCCGTCCCTATTCATGCAAGGGTGGCTCACACTGACCTGCATGCTTCCAGTCGTGACAGTAGGCATGATTCCCATAAGGAGGGGCAGGGAATTCCCTGGCGGTCCAGTGGTTAGGACTCAGTGCTTCTACTACCGAGGACACAGGTTCGATCCTTTGGTTGGGAAACTAAGATCCCATATGCCACGTGGCTTGGCCAAAAAAAAAAAAAGCAGGGCAAAGCCTCCCTCCGCCATTTCCAGTGACCTGCCCCACAGGTCTGGGGTCTCCATGCAGGGCTGAGGCGCCGTTCTTGACCCTTTGATCATGTGTTAGCCCCTAGGTGAGTCGACACTGGGCTGAGATGGTGGTGGTGTGTCGTCCCCTCTGGTCCTGGCCCGGCTCATGGAGCCACCAGGGCTGCTTTACCCCAGAGGCACCAACACAGACCATCACGGCCTTCGGCCTGGGCCATTCTGGAGGGAGAGCAGAGTGCGGCCAGCCTCCTGGAAGGCAGCTTCTGGCTCCTGCCCATGTCTGCGCCTTGCACATCATTAGGTGTTGTATAAACGCCGGTTGCATTTGAGAAGATGTGGTCCCTGCTCTCAAGGAATTTATAATCTCGTTGGGGGAAGATAATTATAGAATAGCATGAAACAGACATCAGGGAAGCGCCAAATGGATTGTGATCAAGGAGAAAATGTAATCGATGGGGTGTCGGGAAGGACAGGGCAGCCCAGGGCTGGACAGAAACCTCCAGCTGTGGAGTTGGACAGGCTAGCCTCAATTAACCTGCGATGCCAGACAGGTGACCCCACCTTGCTGGGTCTTAGTCCCCTCTTTTGTGCACTGGAGCATTACTCTCCAGCTCCTGGGGTTTTCTGCAACAGAGCAAAGGCAGTATATCATATGGGAAGAACTTAGCTCAGCGTGGCTGTGCAGACAGTGCTTAGATGCTAATTCGCTGTCATCTCTGAGCCGAGATGTACAACATTCCTGCCTGCTCCCTCTCGGGCGATGGGTCCCATGCTTGGCTGAGCACTTGATCCCCTGGGAGTCTCGACAAAATGCAGGTTCCCGGGTGCTACCCCGGACAGCTAAATCTGCATCTCTGATGGTGGTGCCCGGGAATCTGCATTGGAAAAGGACAACTTTTCATGTTTTTAAACACCCATTAATGGCATGGTTACATAATTTTTTTTTCTTCAGAATTTTCTTGAAAATTTTATTCTCTTAAATAGGTAAAACATGTTACAAAATTCAAATGTTACTTATAAACCCTTAAAAAAAACCCAAAAAACTAGACAATTCACCTGCATAAAATTCACTCTTTTAAATTGTGCCAGCCAGTGTTGGTATGTTCACAGTGCTGCAACCATCGTCTTTGTAATTCCAGAATGTTTTCATTACCCCATAAAAAATAAAACTCAAACTCGCCCGAAGATTCTGGAGTTTACTATCTGTCTCTGTAGGTTTACTTTAAATGTTACTTTATTTTTTTTAATAGCCTTATCTTTTTACAAATATATATATATTTTTTATTTGGCTGTACTGGGTCTTAGTTGCAGCATGTGGGATCTAGTTCCTTGACCAGGGGACAGACCCTGGCCCGTCGACTTGGGAGCTCAGAATTCCAGCCACTGGACCACCAGGGAAGTCCCTAGTATTATCTTTTTGTAAATCTGCCTCCCATTCCCATGAGTACCTCCGACCCCACCCAGCTCTCTTCCTTGGAGACAGCCAGTGTTCCTTTATCCTTCCAGGGAGCGTGTGCATGCACACACACACACACACACACGCACACACTCACGTTCCTTTATGCTCTACCTTTACCGCCAATGGCAGCATCCTGTTCATGTGTTCTGCATCTTTTATACATCTCGGGGATACCAGGATATTTTAAGATGTGGCTATTTCTGCGGCTCTTTCTGCATTTGCACAGGAAGAGCTGCCCTGGCGTCTGTAATCGGTGCATCCCGTTGCATTGAATGAATGTTCTGTACTTTAACAAGTCTTTTTCCTATGGATGCAGTTAGCTTGTTTCCAACACAGTCCCACATGGAACTTCCCTGGTGGTCCAGTGGCTAAGACTCCATGCTCCCAATGCAGGGGGCCCAGGTTCAATCCCTGGTCAGGGAACTAGATCCCACATGCTGCAACTAAAGATCCTGCATGCCATAACTAAGACCTGGTGCAGCCAAATAAATAAGTTTTTTTTTTTTTTTAATGGAACCACATACAGAGAGCATCCCCTTCACCTTTGCTTCCTCACTGGGCTTTCCCTCCTCACCTGGTCTCCAGAGTCGGTTCGGAAGTCAGCTGACTGTCTTTAAGGAAGGCAGTGTCTGGGGCCTGAAGATAGTAGAAATGCATGAGTAGAAATGCACGAGCTGCTTTTTCCATCTCTCACCTGGCATGCCTGTACCAGCTTTGGGCTGAGTGACCACGGCCTTTTCACCGGGGGATATTCCCACCAGCCAGGGTGTTTGCAGGCCTGCAGGGTAGCCCCTACAAGCAAGGTGGCATTACCCCCAGTGTTGCCAGCCCACCCATAGAAACATCCCCTCTACAGGGCTCCTTGATCCCAAAGCAAGGGGACCCCATCATGGGACATGTTCAAAGGCAGGCCAGTGGAGCCCTCTAGAGACTTGGGGACTCCAAGATGAATCCTCGGAATAAAATACTCATCCCATTCCCCAGTGTTCGTGTGCACACACACGCACAATTCAGTGACTTGGTTTGTGCCTCACTTTTCTCCTCCAGAAAAGTAAGAACAAGAAGAAGGGCAAAGATGAGAAGTGTGGCTCAGAGGTGACCACCCCGGAGAACAGCTCCTCCCCGGGAATGATGGACATGCATGGTGAGCTTCCTGCGGCCGCTGGCCGGGCCCATCCCCTGCCCGGAGTGCTCGGCTGTGTTTTTGTTTTACCAGCAGGTTTGTTCACATTCCAGGCCAGTGGTAGGAGGGCTGAGCAGGCTAGGCAGGACCGGGAGGCCTCTGTGCCAAGGAAGAGGCTCATCGGAGGAGAAGAAGCTTCTTTTCCCAGAGCAACGAGCCAGGAATCATAAAATGAGCCGGAGTGGGACTTCCCTGGTGGTCCAGGGACACCACGCTCCCAGTGTAGGGGGCCCAGGTTCAATCCCTGGTCAGGGAACTTGATCCCACATGCCACAACTAAGACCTGGTGCAGCTAAATAAGTAAATATTTTAAAAAACTGAGCCAGAAATATTAAATAAGACCTCCTTCTCACCCAGTGACACAAACCTCACAGGAGACATTCTGTGAGTCCCATGTGCCCATAATGTTTTTTGGAGTAACTATCTCTTTTCCTCCTGGGCCTCACGTATCATATAAATGACTCTTTGTTTCCCATTTCCTATTTTGCTTGGGCTACTGGGAAGCTCTAACTGGATTTCTGACTTCACGTGAATCATTTTGGGACCCTGGGACCCACCCTTCTACATTGATAGCCTAATTTCCTTTACTGTCATATTTCAAAAGTTGTAACCAGTGTCCCATTGATCAGATCCAGGCTGGAGACATGCTTTAGCCCAGCAGTCCCCAACGTTTTTGGCATCAGGGACTGGTTTCGTGGAAGACAGTTTTTCCACGGACCAGGGGGAATCAGGCAGTGGGGAGTGGTTGTAAATACAGAATGAAGTTTTTCTCATTCGTCTGCCACTCCTCTCCTGCTGTGTGGCCATAGACGGGTATCGGTTCATGGCCCGGGGGTTGGGGACCCCTGCTTTAACCAGTCTGCAATTGTTTTGACACTGCTGATAATTTTTTTCTTTCTTTTAACCTTTTTATCTGAGAGGAAAGGCACAAATCATAAGTGTATGGCTCCATGAAGTGTTCACAAACTACATACCTCTTTGTAACCAGCCCAAATCAAGACAGAAGGTTGGGACTTCTCTGGTGGCCCAGTAACTAAGACTTTGTCTTCCCATTGTAAGGGACCCAGGTTTGATCCCTGGTCAGGGAACTAGATCCCACATGCTACAACTAAAGATCTAAGGAGATCTGAGTGCCAAAAACAAAAACCAAACACAGCCAAATAAATAAAAATGAATTTTCTTTTTTTTTTAAAAAGAAGGTTCCCGGCAATCCACATGGTGTCCCCTCCTGGCCGTCCCCACCCTATCAAGGAGAACAACCACCTGACCTCTAACCGCAGAGATTTGAACTGGAAGTGGCTGAAAAATTGAGTTTCTGATATTTATAAACTATCAGAGACCTGTTTTTCTCCCTTGCTGTGAGGAATCGGATCTCCCAGTCCTTGGGCACGTGCATCCTTGAGGCCACAGCCCTTTGGAGCAGAAGCAGCCGCCCCTGCGGGGAGAGCTGGCCCCACAAGGCCTGCCAGGCTCACCTTCTGTTTTGTCTGGTACCTGCCCCACTGGTCTTGGAGCTCCCAGCGCTCGCCATTCTCCGTCTCCATCCCAGTTTCTGTCTTTTGTCCTTCTGACCACCCGAGTTTTCTTTTTGCACAACACAGTGGTATTAGATAAATCAACAAATAAATCAAAAGGGAATATTGGCTGGAGCTAGTTCCTAACCCTCCAGGCCCAGGGCTATCTTAACTCTGGAGGAAGGGAGGCTGGCAGACTTCCCCATTTGCACAAACTGACTAGTCTGGAAAACAGTCACAAGCTCTGAGGGCAAGGATTCTTGCTGGTTGCCAAACTGGCTTCAGAAAAGCACAGGGGGTTGTTTGCTGACAGTTAATGTGTCAAGAAAGTCACACACACACACACATGCACACCCATACCTCAACTGGCTGTACAGTCATAATCAAGATTCATTTCACTTACGCACACACACACGTACCTCAACTGGCCATACAGTCATAATCAAGATGCATTTCGTTTTCTCACACACACACACACACACCCGTACCTCAACTGGCTATACAACTATAATCAAGATGCATTTCATTTTCAAAAACAGCTTTTTGGGGACTTCCCTGGTGGTCCAGGGGCTAAGACTCTGCACTCCCAAAGCAGGAGGCCCAGGTGTGGTTCCTGGTTAGGGAACTAGATCTCATATGCCACAAATAACACCAGGCACAGCCAAATAAATATGAAAAAACAAAGAAATAGGTATTTGAGTGGGGGCATACCCTGTCTCCCTGGTGCTGGTCAGCATCCCACTCTCTGGGTACCAAGGAGAGCCCTGGCCTGGCTTGGTTTCAGTTCGTTCATAGAATTACAGATGAGAACCTTTAGAGCAGAGAGCCAGATCCCACCTGAATTCTAATGTGACTCTCCTAGGATCGCCCCTAGATGATCATGAGCTAGTTATTGAACATGTAGCCTTGGGTTTGTCTGTTTTTAACCTGTCACACAAGGATGGTAATACCTACTTCACAAGGTCATTATGAATATTAAATGAGACAGTCCCTTAAAGGCCTGGGTGTGTCAGTAGCAAACATTTGAGAAGCCGTCACAGTGTACCAAGCAAGCACCTCGCTAAGCCCATTTGAGGCATCACCTCATTCAATCCTGGTAGTGAGCCTCTTTTGTGCAGAAACCAAGGCTCAAGAAGGTGAAGTAACTTGCCCAGAGTTGGAAGTTCATCAGTGTTAGTGCTGGCATCTGAGGTCCTTTGGAGAATTCAAGTTTATGTCCACTAGCCCAGACTTAACACCCCAGAAAAATCCAGAATGCTGAGCAACCCAGGTCCCTGACTCAGAAACCATGCTCACTTTCCATTTCATTACCTGTGCAGCCAAGAAAGACCCAAGTCTGACCATAGGTCATGGAAGCCTGAAAGCTCAGGGAAAGTTGTGGGCCTGGTTAGAATTATCTGGAATGCTCCAGGCAGGTGGATGGACCTGGGAGGAAGTGAGGGGACAGGGCTTCTGCATCCAGCTGTTTATAACAAGTCTCCAAGATCCACCTGGGGTCAGCCCAAGCATCAGGGTCATGCCGTTACCAGGTTACCAGGCTAGGTTCAGGGCAGCTGACTCGTTAAACATTAGTGCTTACAGCCCTTAATCAGCATGACCCCATACAGGCACCCACAGGTTGTGCCTTTGCGTTCTGTGCTTCTCACACACACTCCCGTATATATATCTTGGCATAGAGAGGAACTTTAGATTTTTCTTGAAAGGTAAACCAGGGGGAGTTTACATCTTTGTTTTTTTAAGTCCCAGAATTCACAAGAGGGTGCTTTTGTGTAATGAGTGCCCCAGAGTACACTTAAAATAAGGTGCAATTTACCAAGTCAGGGCTGCGGGGCTGCCTGGTGCTGCCTCGCCAGATGGAAGCAGAGGAAAGGCTCGGGGCTGCGGGTTGGGCAGATCAGCACGAGCGAGGGCTCTGCCGCCGAGACTCAGTCTCCCCACCTGGGAGGTTTCTGAGATTAAACAGGGTGACTGTGGATGCCCTGGCCTGGTGCCCAGCGTGTAGTCAGTGCCCCGGAGGTGTGGATGTGCTTGCTTCTCCTCTCCTCTCCCTCCCCCTCTCTGTGTCTCTGTTTCTGTCTCTCATTTTTACAAAAATGGCTTTGGTCCCAGTGCACAGCATGGCCCAGAAAAGCAGGGTAAAGCTGTAGTAATATTTTTGAAATGATCACGTGGGTATCTGTAGGTTAAAATGACTCTCTGATCGCTTCTCGGCCTGTTGGCTAAAACGAAGTGTGGTATCTGTTCTTAGCAGTTTAATATCTCTATCCGAGGACAGTGTAGTACATGGATCTTTGGAGGAAGGCACTGGGCTAGCAACTTGCTCTGTCTGCTCCACGCATCAGCCTGGTATTGCCTGCCATTCCTCCAGGAACGGTGCTCTCCCTCGGGGAATAACTCAGTATGAAAAGACAGATTGTGGGGAATTCCCTAGCAGACCAGTGACTAGAATTCTGAGCTTTCACTGCCGAGGGCCCAGGTTCAATCCCTGGTCAGGGAACTAAGATCCCATAAGCTATGTGGTGCAGCAAAATAAAGAAAGAAAAGAAAAGAAAATGACTCTTTGTGCCCAAGAAAGGGGTCCAGGGCAAGCAGGTATGTGCCCCCAGGACCCCCAGCTCTACCCCTAGTGGCCTTTTTGCGCAATGAACTTTCTTCCCTTTTTCCTTTTTAGTATGAAAAGAATGTCATAATAGAGAACAATAGAGAGAATAGTTTGATGAAATCCGTATGCCTACCCACCTAGATTTTCATAATATGATGCCACATTTGCCTCACCTATTTTTTAAATGTGTTAAGTTTTTTTTAATTGAAATACAATTTACAAGTTCAAAATTGCACAGCTCTTGAGTATAAAATTCAGGGAATTGTGACAATTGCATGCAACCCGTGCTAGATTTTAAAGTACATTTCCCCCACACCATGATACTTAAGTCTGTACCTAAACACTTCAGCATGTGTCAGTGATAAATGACATTTCTATCTACCCACTGTACCATTATCACTTCTAACAAAATTAATTCCTTACTTTGAAACTCCAGACTGTATTCAATTCCCCAGTTGTCCCCAAATGTCTCTCGGAGCTGGTGCATTCAAAACTGGACCCAGATAAATCCCACATGTCATGTTTAGTTGTTAGGTCTCTTAAATTTCTTTAATCTGTAATACTACAATGATCTTTCCCGTTTCTCTTTTTAAAAAAATATTGACTGATTGATTTGGCTGTGTCCATTGCAGCATTCAGGATCTTTCAATACAGCAGGGGGGCTTAGTTGCTCCGAGGCATGTGGGGTCTTCTCCAACCAGGGATTGAACCCGATCCGCTACATTGCAAGGCTAATTCTTAACCACTGGACCACCAGGGAAGTACCCTCTTTCTTCTTCTTCTTTTTTTAACGGTATTGACTTGTTGGCGAGCCTGGGACTATTGTCCTGTAAAATATCCACTTTCTGTTATGAACTTGTTTCTCTTTCTCTCTGTCTCTCCCTTTAATTTTGTATCAAGTGCAATTGGTCCAGGGCTGGATCAGATCCTATGAAACAGTTTGGCGATGCTGCCTCCTGAGACCACGCTCCAGCCTCTGCATTGCTTCAGAGCCAAGCCCACGAGATACCTGGTTTCTTCACCCAGAATGAGACTCTCATGACCCCCAGAGATTTCCAGTGTGCTGGGCCACCATCTGGCTGGCTGCCGCTGATACAGGAGTCCCTTCAGGGAGCCGGCATTGCAGGGGGCGGTCAAGCGAGCCTCCAGTCTGCTCAGGACACTTGGGGCCAGCCCTTGGTGGGCAGCTCAGAGGCCTCGAGAGGAAGCAGAGTCATCTGTCCAGGGAGAGCATCCTGAGGGTTTGTGGGCAGCAAGGCCTGGGGGCCTGAGTCCCCCACCCCTCTTTTCTCCGCAGCTGCAGCATTTCACGCTGTGATTCTGTTCCCTCCCCATGCAGATGATAACAGCAACCAGAGCTCCATCGCAGATGCCTCCCCCATCAAACAGGAGAACAGCAGCAACTCCAGCCCTGCTCCCGAGCCCAATTCAGCTGCGCCCAGCGATGGCACCGATGCCAAGGTGGACGACGCCCAGGCCGATGGGAAGGAGCTCCCCGGGGCTGAAGGTACGTGCCCTCGAGGGTGGGGCTCAGAGAGACCTCTGTATAGCCAGCTTTCAGCCAGGCAGCTGGAAGGGACTTTAAGGAGGCCCCGCCAAGTGCTGGCCCCCAGAAGGTAACAGTAGAGAAAGGTAATGCCTAGAGCTCATATTATTGTTGTTTAGAAGCTGTCTTGTCTGACTCTTCGACCCCATGGGCTGTAGCCTGCTAGGCTCCTCTGTCCATGGGATTTCCCAGTCAACAATACTAGAGTGGGTTGCCATTTCCTTCTCCAAGGGATCTTCCCAACCCAAGGATTGGACCTGCATTGGCAGGCAGATTCTTTACCACTGAGCCACCAGGGAAGCCCTATACATATGTATAGGTTTGTTTATTTTGAGATTTCTGGGTTCTCTATGTTTATTTCTTTATTTTGGGGGCCATGATGCATGGCATGTGGGATCTTAGTTTCCTGACCAGGATCCTGACCCCTGCTTTAGAAACATGAAATCTTAATCACTGGACCACCAGGGAAGTCCCTAGGTTCTCTTTAAATCAAAAATTTCCAATACACAGAAAAATTGAAAGAATACTGTAATACTTTCCTGTATACCCACCAGTCGAATTCGCCAGTTGTTGATATTTAATGTTTGGGGTCTTTTGTTTTTTTTGTTGGAGGCTGCTGCTGTTTGAGGTTTTTTTGTTTTGTTTTTGCTTTGCCTAAACATTTTTTTCTGGGGCCATTTGACGTTAAGTTGTAGACTTTATGACATTTTATCTCTAAACACTTCACCGTGCATCTTTTAAAAATAAGGACATTCCCTTACATAATCACAGTGACCATTATTGCACCTCAGAAAATGAACAGTAGTTCCTGATTATCTAATACTGAGGTGTGTTTTGGAGCGTGTTGATGGATGGTGCGTGGGCCGTGAGAGAGGGGACTCAAGAGTGACTCCTGGGGCCTGGAGGAATGGCCTTGCCGTCATCTGTGATGGAGAGAGGTGGAGGGGCAGGGCTGGCGGGTCTGGGGTGCCAGCAGATGCCCGAGCGCAGTCTGGGGTTCCAGGAAGAGGCCCGGGGTGATGTGCTCTTGCCTGGTGGGGCAAGGCTGTTGGCTTCTCGGTGCCTGGGGAGGGCGTGCATCTCCTGGGGAGAAGGCCGTCCTGTGCTGGAGAGCTCCTTCACGTCTGGTGCCAGTCTCTTCCACACACTTCACTCGTTAGCCCCGTGAGAGGCTCCCTGCCCATCCCAGGTGACAGGTAGGGCCCAGTCCCGCTCCAGACTCCCAAGAGCTTATGGGCAAGACAGGCATTGAAGCTGAGCATTACAGTCTACAGAGGTCGCAGGCAGACTAGATCCAGCATGTGGTGTGCAGGTGTGGCCCCAGAGCCCAGTGCTGTTTTTATTTTTAATTGGAACTTGATGGCAAAATTTAAAAATTGAGCAATCTCACTTAAAATAAGATCGATCTCCAGCTTCTCTTGAAAAGAGAAGCCTGCATTTCCATAGAGCTGCAACCAGCTAGAGCAGAGATGTGGCTGCCTCTCCAGGGAGGGCCCAGAGGACCTACATACTCCAGTTACCACACTCCCCACCACACCCTATCATCTCCCCACCAGCGAGGCCAAAGGCAGTTGTGTTTTACCCTGTGATCACTGCTGTTTTTCTTGTTATTGATTTAAAAGGAAAGTTAATATGTTTCTTGAACCTTTTTTTCTACTAAGAGTAGAGAGCCTGAGGGGAAATGCACATGTCTTTGAGGAAGAAGAGAATATTCCTTTAGATTTTCTGTGCAAAGGTTATCTGAGTCTGAATTAAACAGCCCACCTGACTTATTCCTGACACTGCCTGGAACACAAGGGGTCTTGAGTTTGTGGTCAGATGCAATAAGGAAATGGAGCCTGGGGGCCTCTGGGAAGCCTTCCTGGAGGAGGTGCTGTCTGACTTGGGCTTAAAGGATGAGCAGAGATAGGAGGGAATCAAGCAGTCCAGGCAGAAGGGACCACAGGGCAGTACCTGGGGAGGTCAGGGGAATGTGCCCATGTGCCAGGAGGATCTGAATTAGGATGCAGATTAAGGTGCCCTAACAGACCACCACTGCTGGGTCTGTTGTGTGGCCTTCTAGAGGTAGTCTGTACCTAGAAGCATCTATGTGAGATGATCACCTCCCATTTTAGAACACTCTCACTTAACAGTCACCATGGAGATAGTTCCACGTTAAGACATACGGGTCTTTCTCATTCTCTTTACCAGCTTATCATTCAGAGCCGTGACTGTACCATGATGTATTTAAATAGTCCCCGTGTTGGTGGGTCATTTGAGTTGTTTCTTTTTCCTGTACCGATGGTGCTGAAAGGTGTCTTGTGCTCACGTCTCTTTGCATCTTTGCTCAGATGTGAATGAGTCTGGAGGATACGGCCCTGGAGGGGGGCTACGGAGACAAAGGGCAGTGGACGTTTACAGTGTCTGTAGTGGCCTCCCCCTTTTCCACTCATGCCATGGGCAGAGTGGCTTCCCCCGTAGCATTCCGCCTGGGCTCTGTAGGTTTGTGGGGCTGGGTGATTCTTTGCCGTGGGGGTGTCCTGTGCATCCTGGAGTGCTGAGAAACATCCCAGCGACTTCGGTGCAGCCTTCTCCCGTGTACAGCACATGGGCATCCCCTCTCCTCCCTTCGGGGCCCTGCCCGGGCCTGGGGAGAGGCGCTGGGACGGGGCCATGAATGCAGGACCGGCTGGTCACATCTGGACCGACCCGTGCTGGCCGTGTGGCCTCAGGCCAGCAGCAGGACCTCCTGTGCACCTTCCAGTGTCCTCGAGACAAATAGAAGGTGCTTGCCTGTCGCATCAGGTCACTGGGAAAGGAGGTGGAGCTTGCGGGGTTGGGGCGGGGCAGAGGGAGGGCGGGGCGATGGGGGTGGGGCCGGTGGGGCCACATCTCGGTGTTTTGGGCCTGACCTCGGTTCTCCCGTGTTTGGGGTCTGCATCTCCTTTGCCCTGGAGGGTCGGTTAAAGCTCGGCTGCAGGAATTCTCTCTGGGGTCCCCCTTTTCACAGCTGCCCTGTTTGGACCCTGTCACTCCTACCCGCTGCCACAGGTCCATGGGGGCCACACCGGCATCCCTTCCTGCCAGGCCAGGCCTCTGGGCCAGCACAGTTGCCCAGCTTTGCCCAGGGGAGACACCCCCGGGGGCCAAGCCTACCTACACGCTGTCAGGGGCCTTCCTCATGTGGGGGTCCGCTTCCTGCAGGACAGGGCAGGTTGGTCGCCAGCTGTTGACCTTGCTTTGAACTTGTTTACTGCTAAGTGAGTTCAGGGAATGACATAATGTCCAAAGTCCCTGGACTAAATTTAGGCCCTTGGAAAATAATTTCCCCTGGGTGAGTTCCAGTGCCTTGGGCTGAGAGAACCAGGCCGCAGCAGCGGGGCCTGCCTGGAACGCTCGGCCAGCTCCAAGGCCAGTTCCCACTGTGCTCTTGGGCTAGGCAAGGGGTCAGCATGACTCTCTGGACCCACTCTGGGTGACTCGCCACCTTCATGATTTCTAAGCCTACATCCGGGCCCCCACCTCCCTCTCCTCTCTGCAAAGCCCACCATGTGGGGCAGAAAGGGCTCTGTTGGAACTTCCCTCCTGGTCCAGTGGCTAAAATTCCGTGCTCCCAGTGCAGGGGGCTGGGGTTTGATCCCTGCTCAGGGAACTAGATCCCACATGCCACAGCTAAGACCTACACCCGCCAAAAAAATAAGTGCTTCTTTTTTTAAAAAAAGAGGTCTGTAGTCAAGAGAGAAGGAGGACAACAGCAACTGCATAGGTTTGTTAAAGCAAACTTATAATATGAACTAGAATATAAGGTTAACATGGATTTATTTTTCTTTTAAATTGAGATGACATTCCCATAGCATGCAAGGCACCATTTTAAAATGAGCAATTCAGTACCATTTAGCACATTCATAATGTTGTGCAGTCACCTCTGTCTAGTTCCAAACTGTTCTCAACACTCTTAACAGGAAACCCTGTACCCTTCAGCTGTCATTTCCCATTCCTCTTATCCCTGGCCTCCACCAGTCTATATTTTCTGTCTCTTTGGATTCATCTTTTCTGGTCCTTTCATAGAAATGGAGTCATGTAACCTGTGTCTTTTGTTGACTGATATCTTTCACTCAGCATCATTGTTTCAGTGTTCATCCACATAGTAGCCTGTGTCAGTGCTTCATTCTTTTTCAAGGCTGAATACTACTCCGTTGTGTGGGTGGACCACATTGTGTTTATCTGCATATCTGTTAATGGACATTTGGGCCGTTTCCATCTTTGGGCCATTGTGAGTGATGTTCCTGTGAATATTTGTTTGCAAACATCAGTTTGAAGACTTGTTTTCGATTCTTGTGGGGCTACACCTAGAAGTAGAATCGCTGGGTCATACAGGAATTCTGTGTTTTTGAGGAACTGCTGTTAACATGGTTTTTAAAGGTAAAACTAAAAATACCAAAGAAATGTCAGGTTTATGGGGAGTTTGGTTTCCTGCCCTTGATGATCCCTCATCTACTCCCACATGGGATATTTTGCCACTTGGATTCTTTTTCCATCTTTCCTTTTAATTTTCACAGCAACTCAACTGGACAGCTGTTGTCAACCTCAACTTTATGGAGGGTGGGGGGTCTGACACAGGGAGCCCAGCTTCATAGGAACAAGCAGCAGAGGCAGCATTAGAAACCAGGTCTGGGATTTCCCTGCTGGTCTGGTGGCTAAGACTCCATGCTCCCAAAGCTGGGTGCCCCAGGTTCGATCCCTGGTCAGGGAACTAGACCCCACGTGCTGCAACTAAAGATCCTGTGCACTGCAACTATGACCTGGTGCAGCCAAATAAAATATATAAATATTAAATAATTTAAAAAAAACCCCAGTCTGTTTCTAGACCCTGTGTCCCCGCCCCCGCCCAGACACCAGCTTGTAGGAAGAGCCCAGGGGTCCTGGTGTGGTGGACCCCCTGACCCTCCTGATGGTGTCAGGAGAACCCAGCTCAGACCGTGGCGGGGTGTCAGGGCTGCTGGTACTGCCCTGAGCACTCAGGGCTGCTGGTTTGGGGGTAGCAGCTGGTTTGGGGGAGCAGAGTCTGTGTTAATGGCACCTTCACTGGGAGGGATATACTAGGGCTCAGCCTCTGTGGAAGGAGGGCTGTGGCTCCTTCCTGCCGCCCTGCTCCCCAGCCTTCTGTACCTTGCCAGCTCAAGCTCTGGAATACTGCCTGCTTCTCCCTGCCCCTTCCTCTTACTGCTTGCTTGCTTTAAAAATTAAACCTGGGGACTTTCCTGGTGGTTCAGTGGTTAAAACTCTGCATTTCCAATGCAAGGGGTGCAGGTTCGATCCCCGGTCGGGGAGCTAAGATCCCACAGGCTGCACAGCATGGCCAAAAAAAAAAGAGAGAAAGAGAAAACTCAGACCTGGGAAATTTTTTTCCCTTTGTTGTGCTTCTGTCTCAGAAACCCCGGAACGTAAAACATTCTTGAATATTTTAGTGTGTTTCTTTTTTTTTTCTTTTTTTCACAAATCAGGGTGACATATGTTGTTGGTATCTTGAATGCAAGCAGAGCAGGGCCCTGGGCGGGATGCGGCTGCTCCTTCCATGCGCTCTGTGCCTAAAATAAGCTTCAGGTGCAACGGCTGCTCCCTCTTTGCAAAGCCGCACCACCTCACACAGCCTGCTAAGACCTGCACCTTCCTTCTGCTAATGGAACGTGGTGGGGGGAGCAGGGAGACCGGTGCGTGAGACAGAGCCCAAATGACCAGCCAAACAGGGACTCATTAAATGTAAGTGATGGCCTGATAGGATGCTGTGCAGCCATCTTGTAGGCTCTCATATTTATAGAATTTTTAAGGACTTGCAGAATTCTTCCCAAATATTGTGAGATCCCTATCCGGGGAGAATGCAGAACTAGAAGTGCATGTAGGGAGAAACATCTGGAAAAATAGGGCTAGATCCCCTAAAATGTTAGTAGCGTGGCAGCCGTGGGTGACATGAGGTAGTTGCTGATTTCCTTTCTCCCCCCTGTATTTTTTGGCTCTTGCAATGGCAATCAGAAAAATATCCATATTACTAACAGAAATGTTTACAAAGGGGCAGTTCCCTCTGTGAATTCCCCCCACACTCCCCTAATGGAAGGAGTGATGCATCTGCAGCCATGATGGTTGGAGCACGCTGTGTCCACTAGAGGGCACCAGACGCACACAGCATAAAGCCGGTAGCATCCTTTACATGGCTTCTCCTGGCACTTGGCAGGTAATAGGAGTGCAAGGGAAAGGGTCAGAGTCCCCATTGCCAAAGTGTGGCCTGGCTGCTTAAAATGACATCCTTAAAAAAATAAGCAAGAGGCTTCCCAAGCCCCCCAGCTCCTTGCAGTCCTGACAGACCACCTGGCCTCCCAACTTACCCAGTTCCAGGTATTTTTAGTAAGTGGTTCATCTAGCTCTGTATCGCCCGTGTCTGAAAACAGCTTCTGTCGTCTTGCTTTTCCCTCAGATGCTTCCGACGAGCAGAATTCACAGTCTTCAATGGAAAACTCGATGAACAGTTCAGAGCAAGTCGAACGGCAGCCGTCTGGAGATGTGGGCCTGGCTGCAGAGACATCCACAATCTCTCAGGTACCTCGATCGAGGTCTCAGAGGGGCAGCCAGCTCGGCCAGGAGCCTGCTGGGGTGTCGGGGGTACGTTGAAAGGTGTCTTCTTGTTTTTGTTTCCTAGTTTGCTCTCTGGATGATTGGAACTGTCTGGTATTCATTGAGCAGGATCCATGAACATCCTGTAGCTGGTCTGGTCACTGGGGCTGCAGTAGAGAAGACATGCAGGTCCCCCCTTAGGGTCAGTCCTTTATCCCAGCCTTAGCTTCATCACTTTGTTTGTTCGGGTCCACAGAGCACTGCCAGTCTCAGTGACCCAAAGCCAACTTCCCTTAGAGCTGGGAAGATAGGTCTTCAGACTCCTAAATGCTAGACGAACCATCCTTTGGAATTTTGCACCTGACCACGCTCCCCGCTACTTGGTCCCCTTTCCAGGTTATCACTGTTTGCCAGAATCTAGTCTGAATCAGACAGTGCAGATGTAGGTGGCCTTGCTGATGGGAGCAGATGTCCCTGGTTCGAATCCCAGATCCTCCACTTGACACACACACACACGAGCCTCAGGGTCTCTCGCTGCCACGGTGAGATCACAGGACTATCTTGGGGCCAGAACACGGACAAGAGGAGAGAATATGGGTAGCACTTCACGCAGAGCTGGGCACAGGAGAGGCCCCAGCGTTGCCTCGGCTTCTGTTGTGATTTTTTACTGTCCGTCCTCTGTGCTCATCAAAGAGGTCTGGGGACTCAGGGGTATCAAAACTGCAGCTAATAAGACTATTTCCACTTGAGTATTTTCACACCTGGGGAGAAACCGAAAACAAGTAGCAGCAGAGAAAGGGGAACAGCTTGATCTGTACTCTAGGGAGCCTTCAACCAGGCCTTCCTCAAGGGGAAGAGACTCTCAGACCCTCACATCCTGGCACCCTTGGCTCCGCAACCCCGTGTCAGCCTACCCAGCACTCCTCCAGAGGCCCAAAGACAGGACAGTGTTGATGAAAAATGTGTTTGCAGTGGCAGAAAACCGGCCAAAACCTGAGTGTCTCGAAAGGTTTTAATAAATCCGGAGTGGCAGATGCACAGCCTGGTATGCAACTGTTAACGTGTGTTGACCAGGTACAGATAGCGAATAAAGAAACGTTCTCACAGCGTGAGATGCCAGGCAGGACCTCCAACGGAGCATGAGCCCATTTGATTACAATGCAAATCCAGTCCTCAGATAGAATTGGTAAAAGCCAGGATGGCAGCTGGCGTCTCCTGGCCTCTTGAACTCAGAGGAGGAAAGATCAGCTCAAAATGCTGATCCCCACCCCGGGGGTATCTGGTGCTCCCCGCCGGCATCTGGAAAGTCCAGGGGTCTTCCGTCCTGACACGCCTCCACCTCCACTCCCATGTCCGGGGACCCGGACCTGAAATGGGGACCCTTCCGCAGTTTTCACGCTCACACAGACACGCTGCTTGTCCCCAGAGCTGCTCGGTTTGTGAGCAAGGCAGAGGGTGCGTTGTCCTGAAGCAGAGAGCTTAACATTGACGTTCAGCCTTGCCTATTTAAAAAAGAAACAAGTTCCCCATCCCCTTTTCTAGGCACTCCCTCCTGCTCCCTCCCTTTCGCGGGACACTTGTCTTCTTTCCAGAGTCCACTGCCACGCTCATTCACTGTCCCCGCCACGCAAATGCTTTGTGGACGCTTGGCCTGAATGGGATCCCCCCTCCCCAGAAGCCACAGCCACCCACTTGGTCCTGTTACGTTGAGACCGAGCTTTTATCACTTTCACAAGGAAAAGGCAGGGGAAAGACAGGGGCAGTTGTTCCTGCCTTCCTGCCATATCAACTCTCAGGAAACTCACTCACCTCATCCATCCAGGCCCAGAGGTCTCTGTTTAGCACCTGTTGGGCCTCCACTGTGTACTGGGCAGTCGGCTGGGTCCTAGGGAGACAGTGTGAGCCAACTGACATGGCCCCTGTCCTCCCAGGGGCAGGAAGGGTGGGTTCAGGCAGGTGGGACACACGGCCGGGAGGCGGCAGACCAAGTGGACTGCAGCTGGAGCTGTAGGAGAACGGGAGCGGGCCGCTGCAAAGAAGCCCCCTAGACGGTGTCGGCGGGGAGGAGTGAGATGAGAGAGGAGCTGGAAGGGGGAGAAATGAGGGCAGCGAGGGCAGGCTCTCTGAGCAGAGAGAAAAGGGTGCACAGGCCAGGAGACAGGAGCCAGCCTGAGGAACGGAAGGGGCGGCCAGGGAGGCTGGAGCCAGGCAGACACGGAGGAGGGGAGGGAGAGAGGCCTTCTTCTCGGCCTGATGAGGAGCTGGGACTCTGTTCCGAGGTCAGTGTTGTGCTCTCTATGATCTCTGCTTTGAAACGGTCTCTTGAGCTCTGCTGAAGGCTGGGCGGGGCGGCCGTGGAGCAGCCTGTGGCGCCAGCCAGACAAGGGACGGAGGCTCAGGTGTGGATGGGGTGGCTGGCAAGGGCAGAAGTGGGTGGGCCAAGGGTCTCTGGAGATGGAGTTAGGCGTGGCGAGAAGGGAGGACTCCAGGGTGCCATCCATCTGTGTCCCAGGCAGATGACAGGGCCGTCGCCAGCTGTGGGAGCACCAGTTAGGATGGGTGACGTTAGGAGCTGGACTCGGGGGATAGGTTAGTTTGGAGCTGGCTGGGATGATAGAAAGTCGAGGGAGAAGTAGGTGAGTGAGTGTCGAACTTTTGTGTGTGTGTGTGAGTGCTGGGACTTCTTGGGAATTTGGTGGTACTACAGACCCTTCCCCCCGAATAACCAACATGTATGCATGCATAAACGCTGGGTATCTGCCCCAGGCCAGGCACCTGTGCTGAGCCCTGGATGAGCCGTTGTCAACACGGCCAGGTTGGTCTAACCTTCGATCTTGGAGAGTAAACTTAAAACTCCGTATGTGATTACCCTGTAGTTAGTGAGCAGTTGGAAGACACAGGTGACGTGGTGAATATAGGTGAATATAGCTCGGATGTGAGGCTCGCTGTGGGTCCATGAACCCTTTTGAGTCCACGCCAGGGCCATGGGGGTCAGAACCTCAGACGCCCACCCTCGAGTCCTTCCTGGGCTGACTTGTAACCTCCTAGCTGAGCCGAGTTGCTGTCCCGGGGTGTCAACCTGCGTTTCTCTTTTCTTCCTCTTCCCTCCACCCCCCAACCCCAAGGACCTGGAAGGAGTGCCACCCTCCAAAAAGATGAAACTGGAGGCTTCGCAACAGAACTCCGAGGAGATGTAGACGCCGAGTTCAGTCCTCTGATCCATGTCTCACGGGAGATCCATCAGCAGGCTTAGTTGTTGAACAACCTCACCCGAGCAGATCCCTGTCGGGTGCAAAGGGAACTACTAACTTAACAAGTTTACCAAGTGCAAATCCAAGAAAACCTAGAACGGCGTAACTTCTCAGACACTGAAGAACTTTCTGCTGTGAAGCGAAACACTCGAATCTTGAAGTGACTGTCCTGGGGAAGGCGGGGTTGACAGCTCAGGAGCGTCTGGACACTGTCTCTGAAGCCAAGATTACATTTGTGTTGCTGCTGTATTTTTTTTTTTTCCTCCCCACTCCTCTATTTAATGATATAAGCTATTTGAGGGTGGTACTGATCAGGAATTTGCTTTTTCATTGGGGCTTTTCACTGTTCAACCGATATTCCTTCCGCTTTCTTTTTTTGTGCCTTGTGCCCTTGAGGTGACCTCTGGCATGTTTTCTGGTTGTTTTGCATCTCCCCTTACAAGTGCCCTCTTGGTTCAGTCAGGCAGCCATTGCTCCAGTCCTCGCATCTTTTCCTCCCTGCCCCAGGACTTCGGCTGGAGTGGACCAGGCAGGGAGAAGGAGAGCTTGAGGCCACAGAAGAGCAGGACCTCCCAGGCCAGCTGGTTTCTAGGTGCAGCTGGGAGGCTGCAGGATACACCCTGAGCCCTTCCTGGGGACAGTGCTAGCCTCCAGGGTCCGAGCAGTCTCAGATGTCTGGGCATTGTCCCCAGGGCTTGCTTGGGGCATCTGAACTGGTGTTTCCAAGCCCACAGCTGCCCAGAGGGACATACAGAGCCCTTGGATTGTTCTGGCACTTCCCCCCTCAGCCCCTCCCCCCCGCATATGGCAACCTCCCACACCTCTGAAGATGGACTGGCTTCTGCAGCTGACGGCAGGATGGTCTCCTTAAGACGATAAAGGGCCGGAGGAGGCCGGGAGCAGACGGCAGGATTAGCTGGTGCTGAACTTTCTCTCACAGGATGTTGCTTGGATTTCAAATCCACAGTCACCTGCTGCCCTAGTCTACCTCCCCAGCTCCACCTGGCCCCACCCGTGGGTGAGGGGAGGTGAGGTTGCAGTCGGCTGAAATCCAGAGTCCACCGGCTTTCTGCAGACTGTTCCGACTCCTGGAGCCAACAGTTGGATCGCGTCTCTTTCCCAGGATGCTCCGAAGGTCCCCACGGGGGAGCAGGCCTTAAGGGTTGGACCTTGAAGGCCAGAAATGAGGCCCCTGAGAAACTGGAGAGCTTTGCACTCCTCCAGAAAGGGGGCCCTGGGGTCCCTCCCCCGCCTCCACCCCCTGCCTGCACTGGGACGACTTCCTGTCACTAAAACAACGGAGAAGCACCTCTTCTCCCCACGCCCCCCACCTTGGATGAACTGCCTCACTGTTTGGTTCTGAGGCTTGGTTTGCTCTTAATTCCTATACGGACTCCTTAACCCTTCTCCTGAGCTTTCTTTACTGCACTGGAGTTCCAACTCCCTTTGAGTTGTGTGAGGGGGGAGGGGGGGTTCCGGGTTTTGTTGGTGGTTTTTTTTTTTTTTTTTCTGTTTGTTCGTTCGTTTTTGTTTCTGTTTTGGCCAATTGGTGCATATATTCAAGTACCACCTTTCATGTGTGGATCTCTCTCCTGACCACCATGGGGAGTGTCTGCCAGACTCCATTTTCTAAGCGTTTCTGAGGGTGAGGCTCTTCTTTGTTTTTGAAGGGAGCCAATCTATTTCCTGCACTTCAAGAAGAATCAAAATGTTCCTGAATTTCAAATACCTCATGCAAAGATGTCTCCTGAAGCAAGGGAAGGGAAAAAAAACAAAACACACACACACACAAACTTTGAAAATGGTCATGTTGAAGTTAGCGATGCCGAAAGGTTTTTGTCTTAAAAAATCCTTATCAATTTTGCCCCTCAGGCAGTCAGTTCTGCGGAGAACTGTGTTCTGTGTTACCTCTCAGCGTATCTCAAGGCGGCTTTACCTCCAGATCCTAGAGTTAGAATTAACTTCCTTTCTTTGCAGCAAAACTCCATTTGGATGAAAGATGAATCTGGATATCTATTTCCTCTTTTATTTTTTTGGGAAACGAGAGGTAAGCAAGACAGCCGAAGACAAATCACAACACAGGCATCCGTGGAAACAGCAGGGTCCCCTCGACAGGCAAGGGGAACGGACACGGTTGAGGGTGAACAAAAGAGGACGCCCAGGATACGAGGCTGTCGTTAGTTTTTCTCTGAAGTGCCTGAAGGTAGGAAACGGGCCAGGGGTCTGGACCGACTGGGCCCCGCCACGGCCACGCCAGGCAGAGCGGCCAGCGGACCTGCACCCCCATCCACGCCGGCCAGGACGGCCTTCCATGCGGGATGACGAGACTGCGAAAACCCACATGTGCTTCCTTCCCCGACGCGGCCCGCTCCTCGGGGCCCCCGCCCTTCCCCACGCCATCCTGCGCCCCTCGCCCCCTCTCCCACCATGGAATCTAAGACCTTTCAGCCGGCCGAGCCAGAGGCGGGGGTCCTAAGCGAATGCCTTCCGCCATCACCGGGCCCCGCAGCCTAAAGGGCTCCCAGGGCAAACTTAACTCCCCGCAAATCTTGAAGTGGGGGGTGCTGCGGTTACACATTCCACAAAGTGCTGGCACTTACACCCATAACCCGAAGGCGGAAGACTGACTCACAGGTGGTGACCTCCCATTACCAACAATGTCATGGTTTGGAATGTTCCATTATCAGCCAAGGACCTGGTTAGAGATATAAAGACCTTTTTATTCACCGTTACCTAATTGTTTTTTTTTTTTTTCCTTACGACTTTTTTTTTTGGTGTGTTGTACAGCAGTATAATTTTTCACTTATTTATTCCATCAGTAGATATGGTTTGTACAATGTACAATGGTTCCATTTCAGAAAATAAAAGAAAAATTCAAATCATGAACACCATGTGATTTTGGAGCGTTATGATAAAGAGTAAAATCCTGTGAGATTTTACTCACAGAGCGGGCTGCTCTGGTGTCTGCGGCGTGGCCCTGACTTTGTACACAACTTGAACGCTGGGACTGTGGCCTCCCACATGCTGTGGGAGGCTGAGTTGGTAGCCAGTTAGAACCCTGGTATAAATTACAGCCAGGCCATCTGCCCCCCGTCTTGCGTCCTGGTGGTGTCCCTGGTTTCAGGAGGCTCTGGCCCATGGCAGGGGCTCAGGGGCCGATTCTTTGGTGACTTGCAACTCTGTCTTGACTTGCCTTAACAGCTAGTGACTCGTGGTCAGGCTGGATCCAGAACCGCCCCAGGGCCTTTTCCCCCACAACTCAGGCTTTTTCTCACTCTCCAGCTCAGACTCCCTCCCCCAGTGGACTTTTTCCTTTCTTCTCTGTCCAGTCTCTGTTTTTCCTCTCGCACCTGAAACTTGGCCCTAGGTGAACCACCAGCTAGGGACAGATGGGGTGGGACGATTGTTCTAGCAGTCCTGTGCTAAGTCACCCGTGTTGACCGACCTGGAGGCAGACATTCTCCTTTTTGTTTTGTCTGACTTTCCTCCCCACCCTGTTCCTTTTTAACATGTTCCAGTGTTTTTATCGGGATTGGTTGCTCAGTGAAATAAACTCCTGATATGGAAAGTTCATCCTGACAAAACATAAATCATAGGGACCTTGTTTGCTTAACCAAAAAAAAAAAAGTTCCTTAGCGGGCACACTTTCGCTCTCTCTGGTATCCCTGAGGTCTGTTCCCTGGGTCTCCAACTCTGGATGAAGGTCCCTTCCTCCCAGACTCATCCTCATCTCTGGATCTCTCCCCTTCCCTCTGCTGTTCTTGTCTCAGGCATTCTGCTTTATCTTCCCTGTCTCTCTCAGCTTCCCTGTCTCTGTGGAGCTTTCTGACTTCCTCTCATCTCCCTTCATCAAGAAGCAGTCATGTCCAAGGGCTAGAAATTTGGACTTTACAGGCATCACTTGAGCACCATCTGTGTACTGAGCCCTGGGCAGCATTGACTCCAGCTTGACCCTTTCTCTCTAAGCAGATAAGCTGGTACACTAGGATGCTGGGGACAGTTTGGAATTGGGGAGAGGTGCATTTTTGATGGCAGGGGTCAGGGAGGCTCCTAGGATGGTGGAAGAAGCCCAGGCATGGGGCTAAGGAGTTCATTTTGCCTTGTGGATGCTAAGGAGTGGCTGGAGGTTTCTGAGCCAGGGCTCTGCTGGACTGGGGGTGGCGTTGCTAGTGAATGGCATGGACTGGAAAAAGCCAGACAGGAGGTGGGGGCGGGGCAACTATGGAACTAGACTGTAGGTGAAGCAGGAGGCGAGGAGTTGGCAAGAAGGCCCGTGTGCCCCCAGGTGATGTGAAGGCAATGAGCACTGCAGCCAGGTGAGGTGGGAACAAATTTGAGGAGGGGAAGGCAGGCAGACAAAGCTCTGGTGCAGGTCCAAGTCTGGACCACAACAAATGTAACAGAAGTCCGCAGTTGGGCTGAGGAGGGATTTGAATTCCTAACACCCAAGTTTATCCCTCACCTCCCCCTTGAGGAAAGCATAGTCTCCTCCAGAGGCTCATAGTAGATACTGGCTGCCTTTGCCAGTTGCATTCCCCTCTTCTTCCAGTAGGGGTCCTCCTGACCCACTCTCAGCCCCAAGAGTGGCTGGGCCATCTGGGTCCCTCTCCCTGGCAACTACGATTGGTTCAAGGATGATCACCTGGCCCAATGAGAGTCAGCCCTGGAATTGTTGTGGGACCTGTTGGGAAACACTTCCCCTAGAGTGTTGGCTGGAGTTGTTAAGTGGAGCTGCTGGAGCCACTTTCACTCCAAGGCAGAGAGAAGCCTGCGGGGAATGAAGCCAACACAGGTGAGACAGGAGAGAGTTGAAAGACGGTGAGTGTGAGCTTCCTGAGAGCAGCACCTGGACCCAAAGTGTTAGTCACTCAGTCGTGTCCAACTCTTTGTAACCTCATGGACTGTCGCCCACCGGGCTCCTCTGTCCGTGGAATTCTCCAGGCAAGAATACTGGAGTAGGTTGCCATTTCCTTCTCCAGTTGAGTTGCTCAGTCGTGTCCGACACTTTGTGATCCCATGGACTATAGCCTACCAGATTCCTCCATCCATGGGATTTTCCAGGCAAGAATACTGGAGTAGGTTGCCATTTCCTTCTCCATATTATCTTCCCAGCCCAGGGCTTGAACCCAGGTCTCCCACACTGCAGGCAGACTCTTTACTGACTGAACCACCAGGGAAGTCAACAGCCAGCCCTGAAACCAGCCCTCCTGAACTTTTCAAGTTCTTGAGCCAGTAAATGCCTGTGATAGTTTAGGTTAGTTTTCACTTGGTCTTTGTGCTACCTGAGCCCCTACCCACTCCATCCAAGAGCTTGGAGGGTCTCCTGGACAAATCCAGAAGGAGGGATGGTTGTTGAGATGGTAGCTCTGACCCTGTTTTTCTCTTGGAAGGACTGTCTCTTTCCTCCAGACTTTGTTTTTTCAATGCTCCCACGTGACAGGGACTTGGAAGTTTCACAGCTGAGCACAAGGAAATAGAGGCTAACAGAGACCTGATTGGACTTTGGAAGCAGGCTTTTCTAGAATCCTCAGAGCTCCAGCACTTCAGAGCTGTGTGACCTCAAGTAAGTATCTTAACCTCTCTGGGCCCCAGCATCCTCATCTGTAAAATGGAAAGAATAATGGTGCCTCTCAGGTTGTTGTGAGGATTAATACATGTGAATTACCGAATACATGTAAAGTGCTCCGGACAGGCCCTGAAAGTGAATGTGTTCGTTGTTCAGTGGTGTCTGACTTTGTGACCTCATGAACTGTAGCCCGCCAGGCTCCTCTGTCCATGGAATTCACCAGGCCAGAATACTGGAGTGGGTTGCCATTCCCTTCTCCAGGGTATCTTCCTGACCAAGGGATCAAACCCAGGCCTCCCGTGTTGAAGGCAAATTCTTTACCGTCTGAGCCACCAGGGAAGCCCATGGCACATAGTAAATCTCAATAAATGGTGACTGCTGTTGTTACTGCCATTATTAGTGTAGTTATCCTCAAGCACTTCTAGACCCCAGAGCTCCAGCTGCTAGACCATGAAGCACCAGGAAAGGCAGAATCACCCAGCCGCAGCTGCTTTGGGCTTGCCCTCTGAGTTACACTTTGCTCCCTAAAGACTCGCCTCTCCCCCAAATGAGACCGACACTGGAGGTACCGCCCAGCTCGCCCCAGACGATCTGGAGCCTGAGTGGTGCCTTGTGGAATGGCTAGAACCCCACCCGGAGACAGGCAAAGGGAAGATATTCCTGGCCAAGGCAAGGGCTTGAGTAAAGAGCTGCGATGTGACGATGCATCCCCGCTGGGGGCGTGTATGTCAGGCCCAAGAGGGACCTTCAGGCAGAAGAACAGCTCACTGGAGGCTCATTTTTCCAGCCTCTCTCCTTCATCATTGCCCTGCCTCTACAGGCCCTAGGGGAAAAGGCCTCTAGGAGGCAAGCACCAGGATGTGGTACCAGGCCTGTGGGTCCTATCTCCCTCTAGGGTACCCCTGGGACAGACACTTGTAGCCATGGATGCCCTGGGTGACTTGGAGTCAATGGCTTTCTCTCTTTAGACTTGACCAGAGATAACAATCTGCTTTGCATCAAAGAATCTCAAGAGACTTAAATTCCGCTTTTCTCCCTCAGGGCTCTCTCAAAAGTATGAGCTCATTTGAACTCTTTGTCACCCTAAATGGTAGTTAGAGCAGGGATCAACCTCCCCATCATACAGATGAGAAAACTGAGGCCAGGGAAGTTGCTGAACAGGGTCCTGCAGGTTCTCAGTGAAGAATGCTGTGGAACCCAGCCTGTCTCCCACTAGACCCAGGGTCAGCAGATCCAGCCTGCCAGCTGTTATTATAAATAAAGTTTTATTGGCACACAGCCATGCTCATTCACTTACATTGTCCCTGACTGCTTTCACAGTTGGGAGAAGGCAATGGCAACCCACTCCAATACTCTTGCCTGGAAAATCTCTTGGACCGAGGAGCCTGGTAGGCTGCAGTCCATGGGGTCGCTAAGAGTCGGAAATGACTGAGCAACTTCACTTTCATTTTTCACCTTCATGCATTGGAGAAGGAAATGGCAACCCACTCCAGCGTTCTTGCCTGGAGAATCCCAGGGATGGGGGAGCCTGGTGGGCTGCCGTCTATGGGGTCACACAGAGTCGGACACGACTGAAGTGACTTAGCAGCAGCAGGAGCAGCTTTCACAATACAACAGCAGAATTGAGTAGTTGCTATAGAGATTGACTTGCAAAGTTGAAGCTATTTACCATCTGGCCAACTGCTGCACCTGACCACACTTCCCTGATGAAACTTTGTGGTTGAAAGAATATGATAAAAAATATTGACACTAATGGTAATAACAATAATAATTGCCTACTATGTGCCAGGGGCTTCCCAGGTGGCACTAGTGTTAAAGAACTTGACTACGGAATGCAGCTAGATGTAAGAGATGTGGGTTCAGTCCCTGGGTTGGGAAGATCCTCTGGAGGAGGGCATGGCAACCCACTC